TGATCATTTTAGGTCACAACTCCAAACGAAGACTTTCAGTTTATTAAAGGACTAAGTTTGTGAAGGTAGTGTTTTTTTTTTGTTTTTTTTTTTTTTTTTTTTTTCCCAGTAGCTGAGTTGTTTGTTTGTATTTTTTCCCCAGTAGCTGTGTTTGTTTGTGCCCTCCTTGCTTTGTAAACTATTATAGAAAATAATGACTTTTTTTTTTTTTTTTTTTTTTTTTTTTCCCCAGGGAGATGCTGTAAGTTCCCTGCTTTTTGTGAATAGCAGCTATCAGAAATTATTATCTTAGCGCCTAAGAGATCCATCGTGTCTGCCCCTTTCCTTAACATTTACAAACACGCATCATGGTGATGAATTTAGATGGTCATTTAAAGGCAAATTGCTTGTCCTACTTTTTGGTTCTTATTGATTGTCGTGTAATTAACTGATTCATTTTGTTAATATAATCCAGAGTGTCTGCAACCAACTTAATCAGCAGAGCCTGATCAGAAGACTAGGGTTTAATTAGCCTGTGCTAATTGCCCCAATGAAATGATGTTTCCTCTGTCCTGCACCATTACTTATAGAAGCCAGATTTTATTTTTATTTTTATTTGTAATTCTGTTGAGATTTAATAAGGGGGCGGGGAGAATAATGTTTTGCCTCCTGCCAGAGGAAGGGCTCCTCCAAGGCAAGGCACAGCAGCTGGGGAAAGCAGTGACAGGTGGCTGGGGGTGGCACTTCCCTTCTCAGCCCCAGAGCACCTGGCTGAGCAATACGATGCTCTGCCTGTCCTGTAAAACCTAGCAGATTACCTACCTAGAAAGTAAGCATGTATATATATATATATATATATATACACACACACATATATATATATACTATGCATTCATGAGTATTCCATCTTTCAGCTTTCACACTTGTGATATTTTGGAGGTAGAAGCTGTTAAGATGGTTGCAACCCTACTCATTTCAGTCCTGGTCCTGCACTGGGACTCACGTAGAGGTGCATTTGTACCCATGGGCAGCATCCTGAACACAGCCCCAAAGATCTCTGGTGGTGGTGATGTGGGGTCGCAGGGGACCCAGTGGGACCAGGATCTGGTTCGTAAGGCTGAGATTTGCCCTTGGATTTGTTCTGCAGCTCTCTGAGTGCTCTGTAAGTGTCTGAGCTTGGCAAGGAAAATTGCAACTGATTGTAAATTTCTTGCAAAAAGGGGCCTTCAGCAGGGCTAAGCCAATTTGCAAAATCAAGCTGAATTTAGGAAGTCATTTCAGCCTCCCCTCTTCCTTTTGAGAATTGAGGGATGTGTTTTTGGAAGTGCCAACACAGCTTGCGTATGATGCTTCCTAAATCCAGCCTTCTTAACGTTTGCAGGTTGTGCTGTTGGCTTGCCTGTGCTTGTAAAGGTGAGGGAGATAAGACTGGCTAATTAGCTTGTAAACAAAATACAACGTTTTGCTTTGCATCAAATGAAATGTTTTGAGCTGATTCAAAACCTGAGTCAGATTTGTGCGCACATAAAAACATTTCTTGGGGAAAAAAACAACAACCTTGAAGCAAAAGTGATGTGGGGGGAAGTCCCTGGTAGGGACAGCCTTCCTTGTGAATGGAGGATTGGTTCCTGAAAGTGGTCCCATGGAGTGGAGCAGTGTCCTGGAGGCTCTGAGGGGGTCTCTTGCTTTGTGAGCCAGCACCACAAGCCTGCCAAATTAGGGCCAGAGCTGCGAGCAGTGCTGGATGCAGCAATAAAGTGCAAGGAGAAAGCCCAGGGCTTTGCCCTGGGCTCTCCTCCCTGGAGGAGGTTGTTGCTTTTCCTGGAGGCTGCCTGGTTCCCTCTCCACCTCATGGCTCCCCTGCCATGGCATGTGGCTCAGCACGGTGGAGGGGTGGTCGGCTTGCTTTCCACCACAGAGACAACGAGGGATTTGGAGAGGGAAGCCCCAAACCCATGGGAGTGGGGAGTGCAGCATTTCTGGGGCTCAGAGCTCACTGGAGAAATGCCTGTGGACATTTCTCAGCCCCAGATCTCCCTGCTCCATCTGCCTTTTCTGCTTTAAGAAAATAGGATGTTGTGCTTTTTTTTTTTTTTTTTTTTTTTTTTTTTTTTTTTTTCTGGTAAATAAATGAGATTAGCAGAGATTTATTTTTTTTCTCCTCTACCAGTAATAAGGATTAGGTACCACTTGGGCTAAAAGGACAGCAGTCATAAATGAATTGAAAGACACCATGAAATCTCATACGTGGTGGCAAAGGGATTTGAGATCAAACCAGGCAGCAGCTGCACAACTGTGCCCCCAAACTGGGGGGCACCAGGGCTGTGCCTTGGCTGTTCCCACCTGTACAATGGGTGCTGCACTGCAGATGTAGCCCCAGCCCAGTGCTCATCGCTGGGGCAGCTCAGCAGGCAGACAGCCGAGGCGTGAACCATGCCAGCCACCCAGCCTGAACCAATCTGGGCTTGATATTCAATTTTCTTTTGGGTGATATTCATGCAAATGTGCCAAAAGCGGCTGCAGCACTGGGTCCTTGCTGCTGAACCGCTGCCTCCATCCGGCACTCAGCGTGCAGCCCGGCTGCATGGTGAGCGGCATCCGACCTCAGGAAAGGAACAGGATTTTTCTCTCCCTGAAGTGAATATTTTTAAAGCACTTAATGTTTCCTCTCTCCCAGTAAGTGGCTTTGGTGGAAGGGCATTTGAGCTGCCTCTGACAGTGATGAAATGGGATTACAACTCCAGCTGACAGCAACTTGGTATGACCGTACTCAGTTTCCCTCTTGTGGTTTGTTCAGGAATTAACTGGGGATATTTAATTACTTTCTAATTACTTTCCCAGCTGAGTATGTCCAAACTATACCGGTGGGCTGGGGTCCTGATCCTGCAGCCCTGATCCCTTCAGAGCTTCACCTAAGAAGATCCACATGGCACTGTTTAATTTTGCTAAAGCTACAGCTCTGCTCTCCTTAGCATGATGACAGGTTTTTGCCTGTTTTTTGTTGCAGAATGGCTGAAGCTGTTAGATGAGGTCTGAGGCTTGCTTCCATCAGGAGACATTTTGTCACATTACCTCTCCCTCATGCTGTTCTTGGCCTGTCCCTGGGTTCACAAGCTCTCCTGAGGGGAGAGGAGGGTGTCAGCTCTCTTGGGGAGGACCTGTCCTCATTGCCTGGTGCCTGCAAAGAGCTGAGAAAAAAATCTGAGACCCTGATTACTGCTAGGCATTTCTTAACTCCAGAGCAAAACGAAAGAGCCTTAGGGAAAGAAAGAAGGAAGGAAAGAAGGAAGGAAAGAAGGAAGGAAAGAAGGAAGGAAAGAAGGAAAAGTGTTTATGCAGAATTGAAAAAGGAAGATCCCACAAGCTGGGGGAGTCGTTGGAGAGTCACTGCATCCACCTGGGACTGGGAGGGATAGGGACCAGGAGGGAGAAGAGGGACGCCAGGCTAACCCTGCAGAGTCCCTGGGGAAGGTGTTTGGCACCCTCCCCTCTCACTGGAGGGACTTATGCAGAAGCAGCAGGGGAAATCGCAGGGTTATTCCCCCTGGTGATTATCCTGTGATCTCTCAGGGCTGTATAAATGGGAGCTGATTACAACCAGAGAAGGAGTAAATTGTGTAATTAGGCAGGGAGAAGAGAGGGTGACTTAAGCTCTGCCTGAAGGTGATAGTTTGGAGAGAAGAGTGGAGAAGAGTGTTCGTACCCAGCATAAGGGCTTGTCCCCCACACCTGCCCGCCTTGCTCCAGGCTTGTGGTGTGGCTCCCTTATGAGCAAGCCTACCACTGTGCTCAGATGTTAGCATCTCCCCAGATTTCCCTCTGGGCCTTTCCGTGAATGGTTAGCAGAGAAAAGCCATCATAGGACTCAGCTGTTCAGTGCTGGATGTGGGATGGCTGAGACCTTTCTTGCTGCTGGAGCAGTTCTCTACACAGAACAGGCAAGAGCGTTTTGCCTCCCCTTCCTCTTATTATTGATCCATACTACCTAGGCCAGAAAATGTGTCTGTTCCCATAGCAGGCAAAAAGCACACGGCAGAATTGCTCCCTAAGCCACAGTGAGGAAGGCGATGAATGTGAATATTATTCATGCCAGGAAAAATAGCCAATTACCTTCCTATAGAACCACTCTCTGCCCAGCGAAACAATAATTGCAACATCTAACATTTGTCACTGAGCTCTGAAAGCACTTCTGGAATAAATACTGACAAATGGTTTTGAACTTTTTTTTTTTTTCTTTTTCTTTTAAGTCAAGGTACCAGATCCTCAGCTGGTGTAAATGGCTGCAGGCAGTCCTTGCCCTCCTCCACCTCAGATGTCCTGGAGCTGCAAGAATTTAGCTTTGTTTTATATCTGCTTTGCTTTATGGTCATGTGCCTTAAGGGTGAATAAATGTATTCATGTAGATATTTACTATTTTTCTATTCAGTTTATTAGGCAATGTGAAGTGGGGATACTGCCAAAGGGGCTTCTTGTGTTTCTTGATATTTAAGGTCAGCTGTGCAACCATGACTGAAGCTTTTGTATTTAGTTCTCAAGTTTACCAGTGAAACAATCAATAAATGGGAAATCATCCTTCTCCCTCCTGTTTTCCTTTTCATCCTAGGAGGAGGAAGGGAAGACAAACTTCTTCTAAGAGCTATGCTGAGGGTGTGTTGCCTGTTTAAATGTTTATTTGTTAGACTGCCCTGAAGGCCACGGTGGTCCTGTCTACAGCTGGCAGCGACCTGACCAACTGGATTACAGAGCAAATTTGGCTTTTTGCCTTTATGCTTCAAAACAACAACAAAATTCGGCTCATTTCACAGAGCCTGGGCTCTCCTGCGTGGCTAGAAGGACAACTAATACACGAAACGGCGCGGAATCGGCACTTTATTTCTCAACAGGCTTATAAAGGGAGGGCAGCCGCCCCTTCCCAGCCCTCCTTGGCCAGTCTGTCTGTCAGTCAGTCAGTCAGTCAGTCAGTCTGTCAGTCTGTCAGCCCCCCCCCCCCCCCCCCATAGCACACCGAGCCGCTCGATACCGCTCGGCGCTCGCTCGGCCGCGCCTAGCGCCCTGCTGGGGGCGGGGGCGGTGCCACAGCGCTCCCGCGCTTTTCCCGCTTCGGGGCCGGCGCGCGCCCAACGCTCCGCGCCCCCCCCCCCCCTTCCCCCTGTCCGTGAGGCGATGGTGAGTGGGGGGGGGAAGGAGGGGGGGGGGGGGGAGCGCGGCCACCACAGCCCCGGCGCCCCCCCTCACGCTTCACCCCCTGCCCCTCTCTTGCAGCGCAGGAGCCTGGCCCCCAGCCAGCTGGCCAAGAGGAAGGCGGGCGGCGAGGATGAGGAGGAGGAGGAAGGCTGGCAGCCGGCCCCGCCGGCGGTGAGTGAGGGGCGACCCCCCCCCCCCACCTCAGGAGTCGCCTTCCCCCCGCAGTGTGAGGAGAAGGTGGCAGGAACCGGGCGGATTTGGGGCGGGTTTCAGTCAGGGTGGGCGCCTGCTGGTCGTGGGGGAGCCTCGGGGGGCTGTGGGGTGGGGCTTGGTATGGGCAAAGTTGCCTTTTTGGGGGGTCTGGGGGCTGTTTTGTGGGGTCTGGGGCTGTTTTGTGATGAGGAAGGGGACACAGCCTGTCTGTAGGGTCTGGTGGCCCTGGTGCTGTCCGTTGGCAGCTGAGGTGGGTGGTGGTGATGGGGTCCGCTCAGTCAGCTGTGGGGTTTCTGTGTGGTTGGGTGCTTACTGAGCGTGACAGTGGCACATCTGTGTTGCCAGACGGCCCTCAGTTCTGTCTTGTTTTTGTTTTTTTTCAGGCTCAGAAGAGAAGGAAGGCTGGCGGCGAGACGGAGAGCTGGGAATGCTACAGGTCGCCCTTCCGTAAGCCCCTGGCACAGCTGACGAATGGACCCCGCTGCATGGATAGCAGTCAGCATGTGAGTGGGTGTGCTGCCGGCCTGGGTTGTGTACGGGGAGCCCAGGGGCTTCCATGGACCCATACAAACCCAATTATATGTAACATTCAGAGGTGTTACAGAAGCCCTGCATGGCTTTTAGGAAGGACCTCTGCTTGTTCCAGTCACGTTGTGCTGAAGATGTGGTGGGGATACTTTCTACAGTGGAAAACTTTTATAAGAGTTCTGTAGGGCCTAGGTGAAGGACTGTGCTGAGATACATGTCTGGCTTTCCACACGCATGTCTCAGGTGCCGTCTGCTTGCTCTGTGCTCTCTGGGCTTCCACTGATGGAACACAGCCCCTTTGCAGGTGTGAATTGCCTGACTGCATTACTGAGGTTAGGGAGGATTTAAAGAAATGAGTAATGCCAGTGGATTTAAGAAGACAGAGTCAAGAAAGTCAGTTTCATGTGTTGGAAAACCCAAAGGAAAATAGCTTTGAGAAGTGGAGGTGCTGGTGGAGAAGTTGTGCTGTTCTGTTACTTTCTTCCTTTTGGATATTTTTGAAAATAGTTGGGGTTGGAGCTTGCGAAGATTGAGTAGAGGGACTCTCAACACTTGGCAAAACTGAGTTCTCAAAAAACATTTTGGGCTTGCTGTCTTGACCTATCTCTGATTTCAAACTTCTGAAGCATGTTTTCTTTTTGAATTCTTAGGAGGCTTTTATCCGCAGCATTTTATCCAAACCCTTCAGAATCCCCATTCCAAATTATAAAGGTAAGATGAGGAGGTATAAGGATTGTCTGTGTTCTCTGACACCAGTAAAATAGGTAATGCTCTGGCCTGTCAAATATGTCTGTGGGGATTACTGTGTGGGTGTTTCTTTTTCGTTTGGAATGATGCATGTGTTCCAAAAATTCTGAGTTAACTCCAAAAGAAAAATACACCAGTATTAACAAAGTCTTTGTATTTCTTACTTGTGTTTAGTTTGGATAATCCTGCATTTCAGAACTGGATTTTGTATTTTTATGGTTATGTATTTGATGTAGTGCCAGGAGGTTGTATGCCACATTGTAAATACAAAATCAAGATGAATTCTAATCCATGGAAATTTATCACCTAAATAATACCCTGATGGTACAAACAGACAGAAGGCCAGGGTGAAAAAGAGAGTTCTTTCAACTTTGCTTGGTGTGCTGAGTCTCAAGGTGATCTTCAAAGCAAGGGTAGTTTTGAACTTGAAAGCCTCAGCTGGTTTTGAATCAGGGAGCGGAAGATCTCAGAAACAAAAGGGGCTTTTCTTGACCCCTTCTTTCCCTTCGCTATCCAGCTGAAATTTTGAAAGATGGGTCAGTCAGTTTAACTCACACATTAGTTATAAAATATGTCTGGAGGCATGTTCAGCCAGGCTGCATATTAAATGAGCAGCCCTGGAAGAGTTTGTTTGACATAGTTCTTAGTTTGTAGGAAAAGCTAAGGAGACTGTAGTGGACCTATAACTGTAAAAGCTGATTTCTGTGACTGTTACCTTCCTCTCTTAACTGGGAGGGGAGATTGCTTCTTTACTCTTTCTTGATGTGGAGGAATCGTTGTCTCAACTTGTGATACGCTCCCATTTTGCAAGCAGTAGGGGAATTGACCCCGCTTGATTCTTTCCCAAGCAAAATTAATCCTAGGAGCATAATTGTTTACCAAGACTCAGATGTCTTTGAGCTAATTTTGACAGGAGAAGTGATTTGTCTGTATTCTTTCTATGTTAATCTCAATTCCAAAACTACAATCAAAATATAACACTAGGAAAATGGACTCCTCCTATTTTATTTTTTTAACTTTTCTGAGAGATTGGCTACAATGCCAAACATCTGCTATTGCTCAGCAGAGAGTAAAATAATATCCTTGCCTACGTAACAGCAGTATGGTTCTAACTGTAACACTGTAGAACTTCTTAATGTCTAAGTTTCTTCTTGACATTGTGCAAAAGATAAAGCTCTTGCTGAGCTTGGATTAGAGGATCCAAAAAGAGGCTCTGTCCCGGTACATACGATGTACATAGAAACGTATTTTTTGAGCTGCTGAAGCTTGAATCCTGCTTGTCTTTCAAAAAAAGTGCAACAGCTACTTTTAAGTACTAGGAGCATCTGTGATGCCCGGAGGGAAGCATTGTGCCTGTTTGTGGCTCTGATCTGGTCTGACAGCATCAGTCACCTTGCAAGTTACCTTGTCCTATTGTATGCCAGCGTAGCTGGCATCTGCTGCACGCAGCTGCTCCCACTTTGGTGCACCCAGTGTAGGCAGCGCCGCTGCTCCATCTTCGCCTCTGCGTTTTTGCAGTGATACCTGCTGTGTGCAGGCAGAGCGCTGCCAAACAAGTGCCCTTATGGATTTGCAGTCTGCAACAGTTGTCTTCTCCACTTTAGCACTGCACCCAGTTAATCCACCGTTTCCAGACTTAATCAGACACTTCTGCGAGGCTCTGCTTTCTTCTGGAAGAAGTTGTTCTTTGAGTTGTGCCTTTGTTTGCTTTCAGGGCCAACGGGCTTGCGGGCGCTGGGCATCAAACGGGCAGGGCTGAGGAGTCCTCTCCATGACCCTTTTGAGGAAGGAGCTCTGGTTCTGTATGAGCCCCCACCGCTGAGTGCCCACGAACAGCTGAAAATAGACAAGTGAGTCATCACCTGGTGCAAATGCTTCAGCTCTGACCTCTTTGTACATGTAGGTTTGTGTGCTTTCTTCCTGTTTTTGTCTGAGCTGGGATCTGGACATCGAGGCAAGCTGGGTTCCAAGTATTCTCCCTCTGAGTTGCTTCAGGTATGGCAACAGTCAAAGGAAGGCATACACCCATGCCAGGTTGTTTCCCAACAGCCTGTTTGATCTCCCACTCATGAAAAATTAAAACCTGTTGCAGGGAATGCAGGTGCACACATGTAGAAACTGTTTAGAAAATCTTGTGGCTCAGGAAACATCAGTGTATGGAGACAGCAAAAGGGAGATGGCTGACAGTCAGATGTTAGGCTGCCTAATGGTTTTTATTCTGCCATAGTTCCTTCTGTGCTGTTGTAACTTTAAAAGGGTTGTCAGCTGGATAGTCATAGACAGAATGGAGTGTTCCCTGATTTGGTCTCTCCAGTAATGCAATTATAATGCAATTACAGTATTCTTATTGAGACAAAGAAAAAAATGACTTTTAAATGCCTTTCTGAATAACGTTCTGCCCATGTTCTAGGGCACTTACACTTTAGATAGTAGATCAGGCCTGTGCAACTCTGTTCTCAAAACTGAATTCATCCTTTTTTCACTTTCTTTGGTAGTTGTTTCCTTTATGTCACTGAAGAGTCCTCAGAATAGCACTGAGATTTAAAGAAAAAACAAAACCTAAACACATGCTGTGCTGAGTGCAATAATCATACTGTCATCTTTCTTGACTTTCTCCTGCAGGGACAAAGTACCTGTCCATGTTGTGGTGGATCCTGTCCTCAGCCGTGTTTTACGGCCTCATCAGAGAGAAGTAAGTTTTCTACCAGGGCGTGAGAGTATGGCTGGAGGACTTGGTGCATTTCCGAAAGCTGTAATTGTTGCTCACCAACTGTGAGGTCTGCACAGCCCTCACAAACTAACAGTGTGGGACAACAGACTTTAGTCTGTTACAAAAACAAAGTGAAATATTTGTTTTAACCGTCATCTTAGAGCCCTGTGTGGTGTAAATATTGTGTCCTGCATTAAGCAAGAGGCTGTGCTGGGAGTGTTACAACAGTCCTGTGTGTCCTTTGTGCTTGTGAGCCATCAGTGACCTAGGGAGACTTGGAATTTACAGGTGGAGAGCGCTTATCATAGAATCATAGAATATCCTGAGTTAAAAACATTTTATGCCATAAAATGTGGAACATCACAATATTGAAGCTAAAGCTAATCCCCAAATATCTAGTGTAGATATCTGCAGAGTTTGAGATTCATCACGGATGCAGTATAATATCCTTTAAGCCTAGAGGCAGCACTGGTGGAAGCTGTTATTGCTGATCTTCAGGCTAAGCAGGTCAAGCCTGTTGTCTCCCTGCATGGGAGATCTTCAGATGGCTCTGAGAGCGCTGTAGGCTGCTCCTGGATTGTTCTTTTATCTCAGAGTTGGTGCTGAACCCATGACCCATCATAATGCTGGCCTTTGGCTATATAGCTGGAGGCACTCTGTTTTGGGTAAGATCCTGCCTGCTGGCTTTTTTGTCAGGTAATGATAGTTACGTTGGTGTCCTAAGCACATTGTCTGTTTTTTGACAGCTGCTCAAAAAGCAGACTCTGTTCTAGTCTGACTGATCAGTTGTTGCCTGCTGAGATTCCTGTGCTGCTTTTTCAGCTGATGCTCCCAGCCTGTGGTACAGCTTTGCTCCTTGTCATGTAATTTGCTTTGTTGCTGGGAGGTTACTGAACTGGTTCCCCAGCTAATTTTTTCCATTTTTTTGGTCAGCAGTATATTTGAACCAGTTGAACAATTACTTAATAAGCTTCAATGCTCTTAAGAGCCTGAGAAAGGAAGAAAATGACTTGCAAGTGCAAGTGGTCTGTCTTCTGGTCCCATACAGTGGAAAGTACAGGCGTGAATTTGTCGGTGTGTAGAAGTTGTCTGTCACTCCCTGCTCAGTTGACAGTTCAGGGAGCTTGCTCATTGCCAGGACAATGCCCCAGGTTTTCTTTAATTCTCTATCATCGCATGATAGAACACTTTGCAGAGTCTTTTTTTTCCCCTTTTATCTGTCCTGGTTATGTGTCAAAGCCGAGCAAACGGGCTGAGCTCTTTCACCACGTGACATGAGCTATAACCTCAGCTCTGTTCCTTCTCTGAAGCTAAATCTGCTTTGGACTTTGAGTCCCCAGGTGAGTCATAGTGGTTCCGTGCTTCTAGGCAGAAGGCTTGAGGGTTGCTGAGGGTATTCTGAGAATTAATCAGGGAGTAGAAACAAGATTGGGTGCTCCGTTGGGTGCTGTTAAGATGCTTAACACATATTTGCATTCATTGATGCAGGTTAGCTGATGGCCTGGGCCTAGCTAGCCTGGCCAAAGGTAGAAATGTTGGGGAATTCAAGTTAGGGAGCTAGTTATAACTACACAGTAAAAACATACTGAAATTGTGTGCATGTTACGAATTGTCAGCACTGGTAATGTTTCCTCAGACCAGGTGGGGCTGAATTTTAACTGTGTCTTGGGTGATTTCCCTCTCTCATTAGAGTGCTGTACGTCCCCTGGGATGTGCTACACGGATATGTTGTTTGCTGTAATATCAGTCTTGTGCAATGCAGTAATAAAGCTGTAATGAAGTTGTCATTCTGTGGCTGTCCTCATCCTGCTCTAACAGAACAATTTCATGGCAGGGAGTGAAATTCCTCTGGGAGTGTGTGACGAGCCGGCGGATCCCCGGGAGTCATGGCTGTATCATGGCAGACGAGATGGGGCTGGGCAAAACCCTGCAGTGCATCACTCTCATGTGGACGCTTCTCCGGCAAAGTCCAGACTGCAAGCCTGAAATTGAGAAAGCTATGGTGGTGTCTCCCTCCAGCCTGGTCAGAAACTGGTACAATGAAGTAGAGAAATGGCTGGGGGGAAGGATCCAGCCACTGGCCATTGACGGAGGCTCCAAAGAAGAAATTGACCACAAACTAGGTACAGAAATGTTTACAAATGGTGCAGTTGGCTAGCTTAGGTCAAAATCTTGTGTTGGAAGAAGCCTATAGCAGCTGTGAGCTGTCATTAGAGCTCTGGAGACTGATGAAAATTTCCTTGTACCATGTTTAGATAGGGTCACTGCCTGTTTGATAATGTTTGCTCTTTTGCAATAACCCAAGTCCAGCCGTGTGATTAAGACAGGGCAGTTCCTGTGTGTTGTCTTTGCTCCAGACAGAATCTAGGACAGGACTGGGCAGAGGTGGGAATGGATTGGGGAAAGTATCATTGCTATATGTGGGTGGAAAAGGTGCCTATAGAGGAACCAGCTCTTTGTCAGGGACCGGCAGCATTGAAACAAATGCAAAGGTTTTCCTAGTTTTTTAGTGCTAAAGGATTGATTTTGACTGCAGAGTTTGGACCCTTTTACTATTACTGTTTTCATCCTTTCTCCTTTTCCCCCTTTCCATTCACAGTTGGCTTTATGAACCAGCGTGGTATGCGAGTGCCTTCACCCATCCTGATCATCTCCTATGAGACTTTTCGACTTCATGCCGAGGCCCTACAGAAGGGCAGTGTTGGGCTGGTCATATGTGATGAGGTATGGGGGAGTTTATAAGGAGAACACATTCCTGATGTTTTCTTGAGATTGGGACAAATCTTGCTTCTGAAAAGGTGGGAGGTGATTGAGCCTTATGTTCTACCCACTATTTTTTAACTTGGCTATGTTTTGAGCAAGAAGTTGGGCTGGAGACTCCTGAGGTAAATGGTTTCAGCATGCTTTTGTGTGTTATATTGGCTGCTCTCAGCCCCTTGTCTGGCAGTCTCAAGTTGTGATGTGGAGGAAGGTATCTGTCGCAGTCACTTTTGCTCAGATTGAGGGCCATGCATCAAGTCAGTTGTTGAATCCAGGTTTTATTCACCCTTTTCCTTACTCCCTGACTGCTAGGCCACTTTGCTGCTCTAGCTGTAACATCCCAAATCTCTATATTCTACAGCTCTTTGTCCAGGCTTGAATTCTGATGAGGATGGAATAATAAAGTGCTGTAGTGCTTTTCCAGGGACAACAGACAGCTCATGGAATTAGGGTCAGGACCTGAGGAGAGCCAGTTAACCAGCAGTCCTGTTTCCCAAGGTTCCCTTGGCATAGAGGGAGTAGGAGTGCCCTGCTCTTTGGAGTCACAAGCTCAGAAGGCTTGTTTCTGTGCTTGTGGGGGAGTTTGAAGGGTTCCCCCATGGCAGGACTCTTTTCTCCTCTGTGGAGCCTACTGCCTGCAGCAGAGGGAGGAGATCTGGGAGGTACCTCAGGTGCTGCTTGTTCAAGAACAAGCAGACATCGCCTGACTCCCTGCTAGCTGGCTGCTGGCTCCAGCTTTGCCAAGCCTGAGTTCTCAAGCTGTGTTTTCATATGGCTGAAATGGAGTTGTTTTTTCCTCTATCATTACATATTTATGCGTACAGTTAGTGAGGGGCAACGAGATTCTGAAGAAAAGCAAATGCCCTCTGCCTCCCTGAAATGATAAAGCTGGGGCTCTCAGCCAACTCTCTTCTCTCTGTGGCCTGTTAGAGATTTGTTACAAAGTGGTGCCACCCGGTGGTTTGGTTCTGTATGTGCTGGAACTGCTGTGAGGAATGTAAAGAGTGTCCTCAGGACTAAGACAACTTGCATCTGCCTTTTAGGCACTGACTCCGTGACTGCCTCCACCTCTCCATGCCCCTAGGGCAGGCCAGCAGCTGGGTTGCTGGGAATGCAGGTCCCTGGCTCTGCATCTTCCCAGTGTTCCCAAAAAATACTTGTCTCTGAAGTAGGCTGGCTCCTGTAACAAGGATCTCTCCACTTAGGCTTTGTTCTACATCAAAACACTCAGATGCTAATAGAACTGCTTTTCCTAGCTGTCTTGTAGGGTTTTGCAACACTTTAGGGGCCTTTGTTTGTCATCCTTTTGGGGCCTCAGCAGCCCCAAGTGTGTACATACAGTGTCACTGTAACAGTTTGTGGAAAATGAAGCAGATTTCAAATGTTCTTCTCTTGCTTTGATTTGTTCCACTCCTGTGTGTTTGATTTTTTTTTTTTTTATTTGCTCATGTATTTGTAGATGTGTTTTCTTTCTTAATCCCTTTTTTGTTTTCTTTTTCCTGAAAGTCATTTTTCATTTTACCTCCCAGTTCTTCCAGGCCATGGAACACAGGTTGTGTACCATTGGTGTAGAGCGATGTGTCTTCCACCTCATCCCCTTTTTAGATTGGGAAATGGGACCCATATTTGGATTACTGCCTGTTGGTGCAGAACCTCTTTTATTAGGGTGCAAAGGCCTGGGAGTTTTGAGTATAGATGGTGTGAATGACTTGATGATCTTGACCTTGGATGATGCAAGGCCAAGAGTTCAGTGCCTGATGCTGGTAACTGGAAGTGTCCTTGGCTTTGATTGGGAAACAATTCTCGGAGCTCACAATTGTCAGCATTGTCATGGCAGGCTCTCTTGCTTGGGGGTGACTCAGATGTCCCTTGTCTGGGAATATTGTAATGGAAATGCTGTGTTTCATCACAGTGACTTCAGGTTTCCCACCAGGCTCTTGCCTTTAAACGATGTATGTCCCAACGGCTGAATACATGTAAAACACTTAATCTGTTACAGGAATGGGACAAGCTATGAGGTAGATTGTAACAATCATGATATGTCAGTCCTGATAAGGGTCTTTAAGCTGCTTCCCGTCATGACCACTAGATTTATCAGTTGCATTTGTGTTCTCTTTTTCAAAGGGCCACAGACTGAAGAACTCTGAAAACCAAACATACCAGGCTCTCAACAGCTTAAACACACCTCGGCGAGTCCTCATCTCAGGCACCCCCATTCAGAATGACTTGCTTGAATATTTCAGCCTGGTGCACTTCGTTAATTCTGGCATCCTAGGTAAGAAATACAAACGTGTGAGACATGAGGAAGGGGGAGGTTGCCGACAAGGCCTCCCCTGATTACTGCTGAGAGCAGCAAGCAAGACATTGGTGAGAGGAAAGGTCACCTGCAGATTGGAGACTTAATTCTCCTTCAGTTTGAGTCTAGAAAAGTCTAGGTCAAGATCCTCTTGTCAAGAGGCTGTATGTGATTAGAGCTCTGTTTCAGTTTAAAGTATTTGAATCAAACAGTTTGAGAGGGATTATTAATGATTAAGGTAAGATGATATGTGACCCTGAGTACTACATGGCTGATCTTATGTAGCTACGCTGGTCAGCCAAAGTGTCCACTTAGGCTAGGAGTTTCTGATAAGTGTTTGGAGATACTGCAGGAGTTGCTGAGCTGGAAGAGCCAGCTTGTAACGATACTCCCCACAACACTCAAAGGTGATAGCAAAGTAGCAATCGAGGCCAGGAATGATGCCTTTGTGGGGGAGGCTCTGTCCAGAGCAGGGTTTGACGTGACATGCTCTTTGCATTGAGTACAGAGGTGGCCTGGAAGACAGCTTCCTCCTGTTGTCCCTGTACCCATCTGGCATAGGAGTTTGAATTGACTAGAGCATGGTGATACAGTATATGTTGTGGCATGTGTTATTTCCATGTGCTTCATTTTTTATTTTTTAATAAAATATTTTGCCCCTTGACTTTGTGCTTTGGGCAAAACTAGTCTCCCTGTACTTGCACTTCTTTTTGTCTGAGATGAGGCTAATACTCTAAGTAGTGCTGTCAGAGCTATATGCGTGCAGTGGTCACTTTCCCACTTTCAGCCTGTGAGCAGTAACAAGGAACTGATGACAAATAATTTTGAAACAGACACGTAATGTCTGCACTGTTATTTGCAAGGATAAACTCTGGGAGTAAAACTGTAGTTGGAATGTGAGCAAATCAGTATGTGCCTGATGGGACTTGGGTTTAACTAAACTTGTATTAGCTTTGGCAGTGCAGTGTTGTTACAATAGAAAATAATCTGCTGTTGTACAGATTTGCCTGCCTTGTTTGAATCTTCCCTGGATAGAACAAAAACCAAATCGCACTGATGGGGCAAGAGTTTGTTTTATCTGCTGGGCCACATGCTTTATGGTATGATAACTGGGGCTGTGGGGGTACTGATCAAAGGTTACTTGGTAGGAGTTGTCACCTTTTCATCTCTGTTCGTGCAGGGACTGCACAGGAATTTAAAAGACATTTTGAATTACCCATCTTGAAAGGCAGAGATGCAGATGCAAGTGATGCTGAGCGACAAAAAGGAGAAGAGAGGCTTAAAGAGCTGATCAGCATCGTGAACAGGTGAACTTCATCCCTCTTCTCTTTGCAGAGCTTTTGCATAAACCCTTGGTGCATGGATATGTTCCCAAATTAAAGTTGTAGCTGTAACAAATTCCCTTGCCAGTTAAGTCTATTCAGTAAGTGATTGTGCAAGTGTTTATTGCCTAAGAATCTACGTGACATGTATCTTTAGTCTGAAAAGCAGCACACTGAAATGGCACAGTTAGCTGCAGTCCCACCCGAGCAAATGTACTCAGATACCGACTCGTGATTTGTCTCTTATGTTTCGGTTTTCTCTTGGTGCCTGAACAGTCAGGTAGCATCCTTTTATTTGCATTAACATAACCACAGTGTAGATGGGATCAGACTGCAGATCCACCTGACCCAGCTGTGAGTAGCAGACAGTATGTGCAGTGTTGCTTTGCTTGCTGGTGATGCCCAAGTCACAGAAGAGTCCAGCTTGTACTTTCATAGCTGTTTGCTCTGTAGGGCTAATGGGATTAGAATACTAGCATCAGAGACGTACCTTTTGATCCCTAGATAGCACCTTTGTCAAGCAAAATGCAATCTTACTTGTCTGATTTTTAGTATGTACTTAAATCTGGTTTGTTTTATGTTGATGAATACAACCAGTGTGTCCACATCTGCTGGCAGAGTTCTCTTACTAGATACTCTTCTGAATTCTTAGCAGTACTATCATCATCATTTTTTCTTTTCTTAATCTTAGTTTTGCACCCATCACAAATACAGTCTAGCTGCTCACAGTCATGGTAAATTGAATTTCACACAGTATAGCCTCTCTATAGAGACAGCCATGGCCTTGACTCGGGTCAGCCTGCAGAAAACTTGAGAGAAAGAAAAGGCTAGGAGAAGAGCTTATTCTTTCTTGAGGTGCATTTTTTTCTTTAGCTGATCCAAATGGGATGTCAAAGTGTGTTCATGAATGCTTGTGCCTGGCTATGTTGAGGTCTGTGTCCTTTCCTTTATTGTGTAACAATCATAATATACAAACAAGGAAAACGAAATGCGTGAATTGCAAGGTGAATTGGTTGGATTTACAGACGAGGTAGTGATCCAAAGATACGTGGAATCATAGGCTGGAATGCCCTGCAGAAGGCTTCTAATCCATCTTGCTGTACCAAGGCAGAGGGTGGTAGACCTAAAGCATCCCATAACTTAATTTCCACTCCGCACCAGAGACCTCACAAATTGCTCACAACACTTTCCAGGGCATCACTGTCTTTGCGGTTAGAAAATGCTCTTAATGTGTAACCTAAATCTTCCTAACTGCAGTTTAAGCCTGTGACTTTTCATCCTACTGATTATGGGTTTGGAGACCAGATTATTCCTTTCTTTAACAACCTTTGACAGATTTCAGAGCTGTGATATATCCCTGCTGTCTTTTCTTCTGTGGATTTTGTAACATCATATTTTTAATATTTCCTGGCAGAACTGGGTTTCTGCACTTTTTAAATTCTGGTTGTTCAGTTCAGCACTTCTTTTAGTCCATGCCATCTTTTCTGAAGTACGGTAGAACTATTCCATGGGGCATTTCCAGAGCCCTAGAGGATATGCTGTGAGCTCATGTTGTGGGCCAGACAATGAATCCGTCTTGGCTGAGGATGGCTACTGAGTTACTGGAGGAGCTGACTGCTTTGGGCTCTATCTGTTGTGTGATGGTTAAATCCTTTCCCTGTTTGCTGTCCATGCCACTGATCTGGTGTCATGTGAGTTGATAATGCTGTTGGTAGTTTGAGGAAGAGCTGAACTTCACTGCAAAGGGAGTGGGCTTTGTTAGGTGTGATTATGCTTGATTCCTCCAAATCTCATGAGGCTGGGAGCCTGGCAGAGGTAGTGGGGTGTCTTGGCTTCTGTAGTATGAGCTGATGAAGCCGCTTAGCGGGTGGTGGGTGTCCAGCTTCTGCCATGCATTGGATTGTCACAGACTTCTAGAGATAAGATGTCAAAGCTTTGTGTAGAGCTCATGAGGAATAATACTGATAAAACAGGGTTTTGTTGTCACTTAAGTATCCAATCTTTGTTTTCTTCTTTGCAGGTGTTTAATCCGAAGGACTTCGGACATTCTCTCCAAATACCTGCCGGTGAAGATAGAGCAGGTGGTCTGCTGCAGGTACCAGAAAGCTTATGCCCTGAGTGGGGGAGCAACAAGAAGGATTAAAAAGCTGCAAAAAGCAGTGACTTCTGTGCTTGTGCTGACTGCTACCCTCTAGGAATAAGATTGACACCATTTGCAATTCCTGAAGCAGGGATGGACACCCCATGGCTGGGGGTTTTGCCAGGTGACTGGCCTGCTTTGGGCAGCTGTGTGGAGCAGAGCCCTGGGCTACGCTGAGTATCTGTGAGCTGCTTTCTCAGCTCTGGGCAGAGATAGCAGCAATCCACCACCAGTATCGGAGGCAGTTCTAGGCTGTCTGGGCTGTAGCTAAAAAGGGGTGCTAGAGCTAAAATGAAGCCACTGTGTAGATGGAGGAGGAGAGGTGTTGGTTTGGGGACAGGGTGACTGCAGGGCTCTTACTCTGTTTCAGGCTGACACCTCTGCAGGCTGAGCTTTACAAGAACTTCCTGAAGCAAGCTAAGCCAGTGGAGGAGCTGAAGGAGGGCAAGATCAGCGTGTCCTCTCTCTCTTCTATCACTTCCCTGAAGAAGCTCTGCAATCGTGAGTTCTTCCACTGGTGTAATGGGCTTTTTTGTTTTGTTTTGTTTTTTACACTGGTGGTTTTTTGGGTCTCCGTGCATTCCACAGACTCTGAGCTCTGTTTGTCTTCTAGACCCTGCTCTTATTTATGATAAGTGCGTGGAAGAAGAAGAAGGATTTATGGGAGCCTTGGATTTGTTCCCTGCTGGCTACAGCACCAAATCTGTGGAGCCCCAGCTTTCAGGTACTGTGGAGCTCAGCAGTGCAAATGTGCTGCCTAACAGGCGACTATGAAGAGTGTAGTGTCCTATCAAGTGACCCTCCAAGGTCAGGAATTTTAGAACTTCTTTTCTAGCTTGCTTTCTTCTTTCTTTTTATCCAGGAAAGATGCTGGTTTTGGACTACATCCTTGCAGTTACAAAAAGCACCAGTAATGACAAGGTGGTTTTAGTGTCTAACTACACTCAGACACTGGACCTATTTGAAAAACTCTGCAGGAGCAGAAGGTTTGTCTTCAGGTTTCATTTGTCTAATCCTGCAAAATTGTACATGCAGCCTACACTGTAAAAGAAACTGCCTATTTTTAAAGCTTCTGTCAGCAGGAACTTTTGACCTGTCACGTACCTCAGATGTTCCGGAATTGGAACTAATGTGGCTTGTGCTCTTGCTACTGGCCTGATGCAAAAGCTTCTAAAGCCTAGGCCCTTGTTAGAAGGCAGTTTGGGGAAGATTTTTGTCTAAGTGGGATGCTCTAAAGGTCACAGCAGTCAGATGGTAGCAAACATTGTATATTCTAGGTATTTATACGTCCGGCTGGATGGCACCATGTCCATTAAAAAGAGAGCGAAGATCGTGGAGCGATTCAACAGCCCCTCAGTAAGTAGAACCTGCCAGATGTGGGCAGCTCTCCTGCCGGTTCTTAGAGCTGTGAGTATGGTGTAGCTGCCTCTGTTTAATCCAAGCCTCCCTTTCTCCCCAGAGCCCTGAGTTTATCTTCATGCTAAGCAGCAAAGCAGGCGGCTGCGGTTTGAATTTGATTGGGGCTAACAGGCTGGTTATGTTTGACCCAGACTGGAATCCTGCTAACGATGAACAGGCCATGGCTCGTGTGTGGCGGGACGGCCAGAAGAAGATGTGCTACATCTATCGGCTGCTTTCGGTGAGTTAATCTTCTCACCTCCTCCCCGTGGGGTCCTTGGTGCCAGCCCAGACTTGTATTTAATGCCACTACTGTAACAATTTGTGTGGGAGTGTCAGTAGTGATTACTCTTCAGAAAAGTCCTCTCTATGCCCTCGTTCACCTTTACCTCTCCATTCACCTTCGCTTCATCTTGTTCAGGATGACCTCTTCTGTGAACTTGTGTTCCTTGATGAATAGTTATTTTACTTTGACAAAATAGACGTTCTTTGCCCTTTTCTTCCTTATGGTGTTCTACTTTTTCTCTGACCTGGTTGCACCTGGAAGCAGGCAGCTCCTTTGCTTTTAGAACTACCAAATGTGTCTGCAAATCTGACCTAACCCCTCCCTACCTCTGTATTACATTTGCTTGCAAAACAGATGTTTTTCCTCTTATTTTTTGCTTTAAAAATGTAACATACTGACTTCCATGTACATCTGCTTTAGAAGTAGTCATCTCCCTCCAGACAGAGCGTGGGATTGATCTTTGTGTGGGTGAATCAGCAAACACTGCTGATGCTCTTCTGACCCAGGGCCCACTCTTGCTGCTTTTTGTTTTTTGTCATCTGGCCCCTGGAGCACCTGACTGAGAGTGCTCCAGTCCAAGCAGGCAATGCCAAGCAATGCTAGTCATTTTATGGCTCTCCAATGTCTTGTCCTGTAGCTTACCAAGTCATTCTACCAAACAGTGCTGTGGTTAGCTCCCATACTACTGAGCCTCCTCTGGCAAGGATGTTCGTGATGAACTGAGCAAGTGCTAGAAAGGAAAGCTGCTTGCAGGAATTTTAGGCTGGGCAGAAACTGGGGAGCAAACTTTTGCTGATAACACGTGCCTCACATCCGTACTGGTCTGACAAGGCACTCAGTGGTCCCAACAGCTTATGTCTTGATGCCTTTTGCTCTGTGACACTTGCCAATGTTGTCCCCTACCTGAGCATCCCGACTGTGCTTCAACTCTGACCTTCTCTTCTGTAGACAGGGACCATAGAGGAGAAGATATTCCAGCGCCAGACCCACAAGAAGGCACTCAGCAGCTGTGTGGTGGATGAAGAGCAGGATGTAGAGAGGCACTTCTCGCTCGGGGAGCTCAAGGAGCTGTTCACGTTGAATGAGACCACCACCAGTGACACCCACTGACAAGTGAGTATACTGGGTATAAGAGGTAACAGGATGGGTCAGCAAAGAACTCCTCACTTTATTCTACTGATTCAGTGCTGCTACAGGCAGCAGGAAGAAGCTCGAAGAGGGAGGGCCTGAAGTGTCTGTTTCTGAAGCTGTTAACCACCTGGAGATTAGCAGTTCCTTGCTGCCTTCCTACTTTTATGTTAGAAGAGCTGCGTTTGCTTGATGAGTGAGCAGGCTATCTTGTTAGCTGCCTTTGTTTGGAGGCTGTGAAATACTGAGAAAGAGGGATTGATCAGAACTGTTCCAAGTTGGTGGAGCCCAGCTTGGTCCTTCCTTGCCATTCCTTCTCTAAGGTTTGCCCAATTCTGCTGCCAGCGCTTTCTGTCTGCTAAGAGCTCAGGAGGCCAACCTAAGCTGCTGCTGTGAGCAGGCAAAAATCCTATGCTCCATTGTCTGCCCTTCCTTCTGTATCCCGAGCCCCCAAGACCTGTGGTGGTGCATCTACCAGAAAGATGACAGTGCAGGAAAATGCTTCACTGGGAAGGTTAATAAGACTTAATTCAAGCAGGAAGTGAAGAGGATTAGTTTTAAGCTGACTCGAAGCTTAGCTCTGTGTAAGTGTCTTGTCTGTGTGGTACCAAGCCTTGCTGGCAGGACTGCTGCTGTTCCTTTCCCTTGTGCAGCTGTTCAACCTGGCATCTCTTGGATGGCCTGAGCACAACCCAGTGGCTGTGGCAGGAGCTAGGATGGAGCAGTCTGGAGCAGGGCGTGCTCTCTTGAGCTCAGGAGGCTTGACATCGTGCTTGACATGATGCTAAAGATGTGTTAGTAGCAGGGATGTTCATTTGAGATTGGCTCTAAACATTCCTCATGTTTCAAGGGAAACACATCTCGAACTTAACTGTGGCCCCTGCTGGCTCATTTCTACACAGCTAAACGCAGGGGGCAGCACTGTTAGAAACAAAACCAGAGGTTTTCCAAAACGTTTCCATCTCTTTCACCCATGCCAGAGCTTGGTTGTGAGTCTAAATGAAGCACAGCAGTAATTGATGCTGTCCGATAATCCAGTCGGAGGGTTGCAGATGAGAGGCAATCCAGATGTTACTGGGCTGCATTTTTAAACAACCCATAAGCCAAACAAGTGGAGGAACCTTGCACTGACCTTGCGCTGCCTCTTCCAGGATCAAGTGTCGCCGCTGCGTGAATGGCCACCAGGTCCGGCCCCCTCCGGAGGGCTCTGACTGCACCTCTGACCTCTCGCAGTGGAAGCACTGCGCTGACAAGCGGGGGCTGCAGGACTCCGTGCTGAAGGCTGCGTGGGATGCTGCCGTCACCTTCACCTTTCACCACCACTCCCATGAGGAGCAGCGAGGGATTCCCTAACAGGTTACTGTCCCCCTGTGGGGGCATGATAATCCCTTTCAAGGAAAGGGACAGTGGATAGCAGTACATGCTGGTTTGTTACACAAACATTTGTTACACAGCTGTGGGATAGCAGAACAGCGTGGTTTCTGAGAGGCTAGAAGGCCCTTAGCACTGGTCAGTGTCTGCTGCAACAGCAATGAGTTCAGGGCTTTTTCTCTGCTGCTGTATTTTATGCCTGAGAAACAGCACACTGGGAGTAACTGAACCTTGTGCACTTGATCACGGATTCAGTGCTGGTGCTCATGCTGATGGTATATGCATTCTGCTCAAAGATCCTACCTTCAGCTTTGTGGTAAGCCTGAAGGTTTAGAGCACTCCAAGTGCAGTCACGTTTTTTCCACTGATAGCTGTTACTCAAAGCTGCAGGGGGAAAAACATGTGGGATCCATTTCTGTCATGAAATGTGAACCCCGGTGATTACTCAGGAACAAAAGGGTCTGTAAAAACCCTCTGCTTTTATGTTGAGCATCTTGCCTGAGAGAACACGCAGGCAGTAGAAAATCAGGCTCAATTAAGGTAAATCCATTTCTAAAACCACTTGCTTTATTATGGGTGGGATCCCCAGATCTAGCAGAGTGTTTTAATTTATTACTATCCAGTAATAAAATTCACACACATGATACATGATGGGTCTTAATTCTGTTTTTATTATAAAAATGTTACAAAACAAACTATTCAAAACTCCTGAAAAATGAGTGCAGATATGGAGTTACAGGCAAGAAGAATTCTTTTCCCAGACACCTTGATAAATGATTGCAAATAATTATATACAAAGCAGCCTGCTTTTCTTATGAAGTAAAATTTTCCAAACAAAAGCTCAGATGTGAGAGCTTTATTTAGCATTTTTTAATCACTCATTTGAAATGGAGGGAGGAGTTCTTATTTCAGGAATCACACTGGCTAAGGCTGTCATTCTGTCCAACCCCCCTGCTCAAAAGCAGGGTAACCTAGATCAAGTTGTCAGGGTCCATGTCCAGAAAGCTTCTGCTGTTTTGAAGGACTGAGATACTTATTAATGAGATATTGGCTGAATCAACATGGAATTTGTACAAAACTCCAGTGAAATAAATAACTGCTTGTCCGGAGATCTGCAGGGTGTCACAGAAGCTTATTTGATGCATCTAACCCATTTAAAGTCTAAAACTGGAGCTGACACACAAACTGGAAAATACAGCTGTTGACATAAATGGCCACCTCTATTGCTTCACTGTGGCACCTCTTCTTCAAAGGAACAGAAAAGCGACAAGACAGCTGCATCCTGGTTGAACCATGGAAAGAAAACCCTACCTGTGTTAAGTCTTACTGGCCATGGACAGAACTGATCAAGTTCAAGCTGATCTGTCTTCTCTTCTTGTGTCCATCACATGACACTGATGTAGTCAGCAAAGGCCTGGGAAGAGTCCCATGAGTCATTGACCACGCTGCACACTGCTTTGAGACGCCGAAGTGCTTCTTGAGCTGTCTCAGCATCCTGATCCAACCAATTTTGAAAGAGGCGGAGGTGGGTGAATTGAATCTGTCCCCCTCTCTGCTGGATGTGGCCTTCTAGCTTCTTGGTGAATTCCAGGAGCCCATCAGGTTTAATGCAGTTTGAGCTTTCCAGGAAAAGGAGGACAAAAAACTCATTAAGAGTCTAGGCTGCAATTTGAGCAGTTTAGATCACTTGCCCCCTCTAGTAATTACCCATGCAAGGATGGGAGGATGTTTCAGTGTAAAATACAGCTTCCTTCTACAGTATAAAGTAGGAATGATCCCTTAATGTCAGTTTAAAAAATAAACACAGTAGTGCAGGTTACTGCCTCTGTTTAGGGCCAGTCAGGCTCAAAAAAAAAAAGAGCAGTTCAGGTTGGAAACAAAGATGATGAAAGGAATGCAGAGGCATTCATAGGATCTGAGAGGGGCAATGACAGCGCTCACTCCCTGTGCTGGGGTGGTGGGAACAGAGCTGTTCATGCTGATGCCTGTGAATGTAGATCCATCAGTTCTAACCTTCAGAGCAAGGAGGGGATGCAGCAGTCTCCTAGGGGGGCAAAAAATGAAAGCTGCTTTGAAGATGTAGCCTGATTCATTTATAAATGTGCAGAGCAGCCCCTCAGGGAGAAGGGCCTAGCCTCAGAGACACTGGAGATCTCTGAGGTTGTAAGTGCCCATTCTCTAGCCACAGTGCAGCATTCTCTAAGCTTTTCTTGTGCACATTCCCTTAAGGAAGGAACAAAACACTGCTTGGGCTTTTCCTGGACTTCCTGAAACAATAAGTACAGTGTGTTAAAAGCAGCAGAATACCTGACATCCAGCTGGCAAAGAGAAGAGGAGGAATCTTCAGAGAAAATGTCTGCCAGGGCAACCAGCCTGTGATTCCCTAAGAGGGGAGAAATGCAACTGTTAGATGCAAACTGTGAATTATCTTCAATATTTAAAGGGTTTTGGGGGTGGGAGCAGTGCAGAAAGGTGGCTTTGAGGATGCATTGACAACACGAAGGACTTATCTTCAGTCTGTCCTCAAAAGTGAGTTCAGCCCCCAAACAGCATTCAAGGTGCTAGAAATGTTTGCTGATGGGACAGGTTGTTTTACTAGAAAAAAATCCTGCTTTTTGTTTTGCAAGTTAAAATTCAGCTTTGTTTTGAAACAGACAAAAGCAGAGGCTTAAACACAAAGCTTGGCAATTAAGTGCATTTCAGGTGCTCCCAAGCTTTCCTGTTTTATTTCATTAAAAGATCAGAAAACAATATTCTGGGTGGACTTGAAATTCATTTCTCAGACATTTCTACATGGTCTGTAATCCATAAAGGCAATTACTGCTGTAAGTTTGGTTCTACTTCTTTAAAATAACCTTTACTAGTTCCTACCCCTCCAGTGCCTAATGAGTTTTTAAAGCTTTTAAGGCCCAAAGTTGGGTAAAATCTGTGGTTCTGGATGAGAAGTAGTGAATCTGCTGCTGTATCCATTCCTGTCAGAGGCTGAAGCAGATCAGCATTCAGCAGATCTGAACTCCTGCTGATACTTGCTTTAGCTACAGAGAAAAATAACTGTAATGTCCCTGTAGCACCAAGACTCCTGGTGCATTTCTGAGTGCTACTGAAAAAAAAAAATTAACTCAGCCCCCTCATTTTATGAGCTAATGGTGACTAAGCTGACTCTGCTCACACATCTGTTAAGTTTGGCACCAGCTAGGAATGGTTCTAACTCCAACCCTGAAGCTAACTCCAGGAGAGCTGGTCCAAGGTCATGACCAACATCCACAATACGCACCAAGGCGATTCCCAGGCAGTCTGAGGCTCTTCAAAGATGTATTTTTCTTCACTGTATTGATGATTTCCATCAGAAACTCAGCAGTGCAGCTTTCAAACAGCCGGCAGAAAGAGAATGAGATTTCTACAGAAGAAATGGATTGACAGCACACGTTAGTAACTCCCTGTGTGCTTCATTATTCCTTAATTACATCCTGCTTATAGCTCCATGTGCAAGAACAAAGCTTCCCTGGCAGCAGACCACACGACGTCACTGCTGTTCTGTCACGTGAAGACAGCAGTCACTGCACCAGGGAGGTGGCTTTGCCAGCTGACCCAGTTAAAGGCTGATGTCTTCTGCAGGTTAAAAACCTTTTTTTACAGTTAAGACCTCTTTGCAGCACAGACTAACTTCGCAGCTGATCCTCTCTGCCCTGCTGGCACATAGAACCCAACACATTCCCCTTCTGCCAGCATCTACAGCTCTGCCCCTGGGACACTGACATATAGCTAAACCTTCTGAAGATTACTTTCAAACATCAGCCAGCCAGCCAAAACAGCCAGCTGTGGCACCAAGGCCCAGGAGCTTGCTGTACCTTGCAAGATGGGATCCTGAAGCAAAAGCAGAACTTCTTTTTGGTGGTCAGCCAGGTTCACATCGTGAAAGCTCAGCTTCTTCAAGCTTGGATTGCACTCTGAAACCAAAACGAGTTCTCAGGTCAAGTACTGCACGGCCTTAGGATAAAAAGAATCTGACCCAACTACCAGCTAACACCCACAAACTACTCAGCAGTGGATAAACTATGCTGGATTGTGGATAATTAAAAATAAACCATCCTGTTGTGCAGAGCATTCATGAGCTCAGCACAGAAAATGGGCTGGCTGACGCCCATTTCCTTTTCTCATGACTCCAAGGATGTTCACACTGAAGCCATGGACCCACCTGAACTGGTTCCATGCTAAAAAGACTGGCAAGACATGGATGTGGCAAAAACCCAGAGTTTAGATACAGGAGGTTCAGGTACCTGAGCGCCTCAGGACTGCTGCCAGGTGTTCCCTAGCAGTTTGTGAGCAGTCCCACAAATGCAGCCAAACTGCTTCTAGACTGAAGCTTCACCCAACAGAACTGCCAGCAAGAGGAAGCTGTAACAGGCTCTGGCAGAGTCTGAGCCAACTAAAAAGCAAGCAGCCACTCCTAGGATGGAAGAGCACAGCAAGGAACCGCTCCGTGTCACAGTTAAGCTACCTGCGGGATAGCAGAGTACCTTTAAGTGCCTGCAAAAGGAGCCCGAGCTCCTGGGAAGAGGGCAGCGTGGCGCTGTCAAGGGACAACTGCTGGAGGGACTTTGAAGCCTTAAGCACTGGCAGCAGGAACATGGTGTGCAGAGGTTCCCTGGGGAATCGGATCTCCAGCTGCTCCAGGCAGCTCTCTAAGGCAATAAAAACAAACAACAGTGAAAGAGCTTGGTCTGGAGTACCTGTCTTCAACGCAGCTAGGTCCCGGGGCAACCAAGGATCCGTATGCCTGATGTGTCTCATTTAGGTTGGTGGGAAGTGCTGGCCCCACGGCACCGCATGGGAACTCAGGCCTGTGGTAATATAAACCCCTCATTTCAGGAATCCTGCGAGACCACCAATTCCTGCTGTGTTCTGGCAGTGAAACAGTCCTTGAGTAAAGGCCACCCTTTATGCACAAACCTGTAGTTTCTTCCCAGACCACAATGTCCACTGACCCCACTCCATACTGACTCAGGGGTTAGTTACTAGTTTTTACCCTGTTTGTTCAGGAGCTAATAAGGGTGACGAGACCTGTGAGCTGAGAACACCCTGCTGCAGCTCCCTGACTTACTCAGAAGCTTGCACAGCACTGCCATCTCCTCTGGTGCTGTGACCATCAAGAAAAGCTTTCCCTCTTAAAAGTTTTAAGACTTGGAGCCTCACAGTCAGTGGCATGGGCACAGCAGAAGCTCCTGAACAATTTAAAAATCTGGTGGGATATGCTCCCTGTGGGCTGCTGGGCAGGTTGGGTCTGGTCTTGTACAAAGCCGATGTTGTGGCAGGCTGGTGTGGCATTAAGGTGCTTTGTCCAAAACTCTGGCTCCACAGAGAGCATCACAGACTGGAAATGACGGGGCGCACACCACCACCACCACCTGAATCAGGAAGGTGAGGCCATAATCACTTAATTACATGCCATGGTGACAATGCAGAGCTCAATTCTTGTATGTCAAGACAACTCTTATCTGCCTGCCACATCCTGTGCATCGCTCAGGATCTGTTTCCTACCTGGGATTTCTGCATCACTGCAGCTTGGATTCCCCTCTGGCCCATTCCCCTCCAGCTGGTTCTTGAGGTCGAAGCTGACGGAGAGTGTGTGGAGCTGGGGAAGGGTGCTGAGGATGCAGCGAACGAGCTCCATGCAGGGCATGTGGGAGAAGACGTCGCTCACGCGCAGCACGTGGAGGCGGCAGTCCGAGTGTCGGGAGAGGGCCCGGAGCCCCGAGAGGATGCAGAAGATGTTCACACCCAGGCCTGGAACAGCGTTTGTACAGAGAGGAGTTAGATGTGCCTGCGCAGAAGCACCACGCACGCTCAGCTGGAGCTCCACCAACAGTAGAGCTGTCTGCTTGGTTTGTCCAGCCAAGCTACTGCAGTCAAAGGCTAAACTCACAAACTGCCAGAGGGGGTTCCTCCTAGGTATGCCCTATCCACACAGTAAGTTACAGCACTGACTGCATACACACAGGAGATGGAGGCCTGGGTCCTTCCTTCTCCCCCTCTGGATGGTCTTTCAGCTCAAGGCCATGGGCTGTTCTCTCTTGCTGCCTTTTTACAGCTGTTTGCTGGAACAAAGCAGCAGACTTCCAGTTCTGGGGCCTGGCACTGCCCATGAAAGCCTTTACAACTGCCTAACGCACTAACCCAGGGCTGTTCAGATCTCAGGCTCTGTGTTTTGCCTGGAGCTGGTCACTGTGTATGTCCCACTTGGCTGCAGGACATCCCGTTGTCTCTCCCAAGCAGACCAGGAAGGCAGGATGCAAGGCCAAAACTTAACGTTGCCTCTTGCTGGTAGAAAAAAAAATAACCCGGGAGTCTTACTAAGTCATAAGTAAAGAGGAAAATCTATTTGCAGGAATGGACCCAAATAACTTCTAAGCTATAGAATTGTGCAGTTAGCGTTTGGCTTTTAAGCAGTTGGCACTGGTCTTTTACACAGAGCAACACTCGTAGATGCAAACCCAGTAAATGACAGGTTCCTGTCCCCACCAGTGGACACAAAATCATCGCAGTTCTGCTCTCCCCTGTTTGATACCCTCAGAGCTTCCTGTGCTTCACTAACTGCACGTTGCCATCTTCCATTATCGGTCCCCCATCCTGTCACCTATCCCCCCCATGGAGGGTTTGCACCCACATGAACTTAACAGACTCCTCTGAACACGGGAATCCACCAGCCTGGAAAAACTGGCAGGCTCAGGGCCCACCTCACTTCCCCACCAGGAAGGTGGAGCTGGTATCTGACCAGGCTTTGGTTCATCTTCTGTTTTGTTTCCTGGCCACCCCATCTGCCCTTGTGATCCTACTGGGCTTACGTTGCACCTCTCCTTTCTCCGCCCTGACGTGCTATGTTTTTGCAGTTCTATGCTTTCATCCCAGCACCACTTCCTCTGACAAATAAAGGTTCCTCTCTTATTCCTCTTGCCCTCAAGCAAGTCCTCCCTCTCATTAAACTTCTCTGCCAATGCCATTCTCCAGATCAGGAACCAATACCGCCCCTTCCAGTACAAATAAGATCAGGGTAAGCCTGAGCAGTAAGTCAGACCCTTAGACAGCAGCTGGAAGGAAGCGTCCTGTCTGCACCACTAACCGTTGTAAGACAGAACCAGGTTTTCTAAAGACACCCAGGAGCTTAGCAGGTTACTCAGAGTCCGACACGTGTCCCCAGTCAAAGGGATGGAGCACAATTCAAGCGTGGACACACTTCGGAAGTGGTGAGCAGCTTTCAGAGGAAAGATCCCAGCAGATCCGCCTCTTTTCTTACAGCCAGCACTGCCAGAGCACGGAGATCCAGTGGAGGAACTAGTCCAGTTCCCACCGTTTTCTCCCTCTGCGATGCTGCTTTTGTCAAGTAGTCCTGAACTGTCTTCTCTAGCAACAGTAAAAACAAAATCATACAGGTCATCCGGGTCAGCACACAGTCCCCTGCTGCGTCTGAGGCAGCGGCGTTTCTTCCCTACTGCAGATTTCAGCCGTCTGCGAGACTTTCGAAGGACTGGGTGACGGGACAGCTGCTCGGAAGCAGCAAGAAGACTCTCCTTGCACACTGGCGTGGTCACAGGACACCTTGCTGCTTGCCTCCTCACACACTTGGTTTTGCAGAGGACAGCTCAGTCCAGAGAGGCCGGAGTTCTGGCCAGGGCCAGCCCCCCGTCCATCCACGTCCCCCTGAACGTCAGCCTCCTTCAGAGCCCCGCAGGATCCCTTCAGGTTCTCCCCATTGCTCCACTCCCTCTCTGGTTGCTCTCGTGTTGACCTCTGGCTTTGGGCATTGCCCTCCTCTCTGCAAAGGCCACACGGGCTGCTGCGATAGGCAAGAGCATTTCCTGACCGCCAAAAGCCAGCGCTCATGCTCAAAATGAGAACAAGAAGAACCGTGTCAGGAACAGGCCAGGAATATATGGACAACTGGCTGACCGAGCCGTGGTGAATCAGCCGGTGAAGAAGTAAAACCAGTGAATGCCTGACGGACTGGTCTGAGGAGAGGAGGTGCTGGAACTTCAGGATCCGCAGGGAGTGGGCCAGGTTCTCAAGCACTTTTTGGTTGTGCTCAGCAGTGAGCTCCACGGCGCCCTGCAGCATATTGCACAGGGTGAGCTGCGTGACGTGTGGTGAACTGTGCAGCAGCGGTGAGAAATGATGGTCGTTGAGACGCCAGTCAGAGGAAACATCCAAGACACCGTGAAGGACGTTTGAGAAGAACGTTTCAAGGAACTTCTTCCTCCAGCAGGTTATACTCTGCAATGAAATTACCTCAGAGTCAACCAGGATAAAAACTCCTGAACAGCGCCACTGCTAACAAAAACTCAGCCATAATTTCTTTTATTCTGTTTAAATCAAATTGTTGCTGTCTGCTACACTGGTAAACAGTGTCCAGCAAAACTACTCAGATTGTATTCCTAGCTTTCAGCATCCTTTTCTTTCCATCCATTTTTTTCCCTGTGTTAATTGTTCGAAAACTGAATTGCTCTTGTCACTATCTTTTCATTCTGCTTCTGGCTTAATTTAAATATATTTCAGTGTTTTGAAACCAAAACTTGGGAATTTTCTTCCCAAGTGTCTATTTATAGGCTACACAAGTTGGTTGTTGACCATCCTTTTGTGATCCTGAATTGATAGAGCTTTAGTTTTTGTACGCAAAACAATTCTTTCAAACTCACTCTCTTCTGTCAGGGTACTCCAGCACCTTCTAATACATCAGCACATTTTTGCAAGCGTAGGTGTGAGTGTGACAGGAGATACTGGCTTTTATCTTCTGTTTCCCTAAGAATTGCATCTGAAAAGACAGAGTTTATTTCTTCAGCACACTCACTGGTGTGAAATCAAGGCTGCGTACGCTGCGTGTCCCATTATAAACTGTTTCCCCAAATGATTTCTGTACCAGGGCCATGTCTCTGAGCTCTACAAACACCTATACGTAAACACCAGCAGCAACCAGGAGCAGCGGCACGCTCCAGAGCGAAACCCTTCAGCGGACAGCAGAATCGGGACATCAGCGCCGTGCCGCTTCCCTCACCTCCGAGTTGGGGGGCCTGGTTTTCATCACGTCATCCCACAGCTTGCGCCAGACGGGCTGCGTGGAGAGCCCTAAAAAAAAACCCACAAACACAAACATATCACCCTTTCTCACCAGCTACAAGTCCTGCTGCAGAGCTCAGCCCCTCAGTGCTCAGTCTGAGGGGGAAGCTGAGGGAAAAGGGGTTTGGGCAAGGACAAGGAAGGTGTTTAATGGTCCTTAGGTTGAATGTGAGGAGGTAAAGACAGTGGGATTTAAAAGTTATGGGTACTCCAGCTTGGGATCGTGCCTCCTGACAGGGGTATCCCTGTCTGGTTGGGCAGCGTGAAGCTGTCCCTACAGTTTGGGGTTCCATGAGAGGGAGCTCCCTACAAATTGGGGTCTGTGAGGGGAGTCCCTAAAGCTTTGAGATCACAGAATCACAGAATTTCTAGGTTGGAAGAGACCTCAAGATCATCGAGTCCAACCTCTAACCTAACACGAACAGTCCCCACTAAACCATATCCCTAAGCTCTACATCTAAACATCTTTTGAAGACTTCCAGGGATGGTGACTCCACCACCTCCCTGGGCAGCCTGTTCCAATGCCTCACAACCCTTTCAGTAAAGAAGTTCTTCCTAACATCTAACCTAAAACTCCCCTGGTGCAACTTTAGCCCGTTCCCCCTTGTCCTGTCACCAGGCACGTGGGAGAACAGGCCAACCCCCACCTCACTACAGCCTCCTTTAAGGTATCTGTTGAGAGCGATAAGGTCGCCCCTGAGCCTCCTCTTCTCCAGGCTGAACAAGCCCAGCTCCTTCAGCCGCTCCTCGTAGGACTTGTTCTCCAGGCCCCTCACCAGCTTCGTCGCCCTTCTTTGGACCCGCTCAAGCGCCTCGATGTCCTTCTTGTAGCGAGGGGCCCAAAACTGAACACAGTACTCGAGGTGCGGCCTCACCAGAGCCGAGTACAGGGGGACGATCACCTCCCTAGCCCTGCTGGTCACAGTGTTTCTGATAGAAGAGATCCTGTGAAGGGAGTCCCTACATGCCTGGGGTCAGTGTGTGTGGGGGGGGTCCCTAATGTGTGGGGTCGGTGAGGGGAATCCCTACAGCTTTGGGATCCTCTGAGAGGAGTCCCTAGAGTTCGGGGTCTGTGAGGGGAGTCCCTACCGCTTTGGGGTCCATGAGGGGCGTCCCTAGAGTTTGGGGTTCTTTGAGGGAAATCTCTACAGTTTGGGGTCAGTCGGGGGGGGGGATCCCTACACTTCGGGGTCCCGTGAGGGGGATCCCTGCCGTTTGGGGTCCCCCCGTCCGAGCCGGAGCGATGAACCCTCTCCCCACCGCCTTAATTTTGGGGGTCCCCCGGTCCCCCCCCATCCCCACCGGCCGCACCTGCTCTCCGCGCGGCGGCCTCGGCTCTCTCCAGACGAAAGACGGAGAGCAGCGGCAGGAGCCCCCTCAGGAGGTGCCCGGGCAGCGCTGCGGAGAGCGAGAAGGAGACGGCGGCAGCTGAAGGACCGGCCCCCAGCCCTCCGCCCCGCTCCCGTGCCTGATGCCGCTACCTCCCCTCGCCTCCTTACCCCAGACATCGGGCTCCAGGGCCGCCATGCTGCGGCTCACGGCCACGGCACTGAGCGCCAGGAGGCTGCTCGGCCCCTCCGCCGCCATCGCCCCGCGCCGCGCCGCCATCTTGGGACGGGGGCGGGCCGCGCCGCCGCCATTTTGAGAGGGGAGGCGGCGGGCGGCCATCTTGGGGAGGTCAAGGCGGGAAAGGGGGAGCAGGGGAACGGCGGCCATGGTGGCCCCGGCATCGGGTCCCTGAGGGGAGCCCCGCGGTCAGAGCGCTCCCGGCGGCTGCGAGGAGCAGCGAGGAGAAAAGCGAGGGGCATGTTGTGAAGAGGGGATATGGCGGCTGCCATCTTGGGAGGGGAAGCGCTGAGAAGGGGCGGGGAGGACGCAGGGCGCTGCAGGGACGTTTCCGCTGCCGGGGCGGGCGGCGGTGACCGTGGGGAGTCCTTTGGGGCCGCCATGGGGCTGCACGGAGGTGCCGGGCGCGGAGGGGAGCCTGAGGTGAGCGGGGACGGGATGGGGATGGGGCAAAAAACGTCTCGGTGCCTGTTTGTGTCGCTAACGGCTGTGCTGTGCTCTGCCCGCAGGAGGAGGAGGAGGAGGAGCTGGTGGTAAGTCGGGGCTGAGGGCCGTGAGGGGCTCGGTGCGGGGCTCCCCGTGCTCAGCACAGTCCCTGTGTGTCCCCCCCCAGGACCCCCTGACCACCCTGCGGGAGCACTGCGAGCAGACGGAGAAGTGCGCCAAGGCGAGGGAGCGGCTGGAGCTGTGCGACGCCAGGGTGTCCTCCAGGTCCCAGACGGAGGAGCAGTGCACCGAGGAGCTCTTCGATTTCCTGCACGCCAGGGACCACTGCGTAAGTGCACAGCAGGCCGGCCCTCAGCCAGGCTCCTGAGCGTGAAGGTGTGATGCTGGGTAGCTCTCGAGCTCACTCCAAAATCTCCAAAAAGCTGTGAATGTCGGTGCTTTTTCTTATTAAATGTTTCTTCCTACTTGCTATAGCAGATCCAGCTTAAATTCTGTAGATTACTAAACAACAATGTCAAACAATGTTTTTGCCATGCAGGTGGCACTTTGCTATCTCAGTGTTGTATTTGCCTTTCCCTAATTTAACCCCTTTTCATCTGAGGTGCAGCTTTGTAAGAAATCTCACTAGTTTTCTGGAATGACTTCTTGCAAGAGGGCCCAGAAAACCAAGAGATGGGCGGTAAAACCCTGCTGACTTCCAGCCCTTTTGAAGAGGAACCGTCAGTCACTGTGTGCTTTGTCTTCTCTTTCAGGTTGCTCACAAGCTCTTTACCAAGCTGAAGTGAACACTGGAGCGATTGTCCATCTGCTTCCATAATCTGACAGAAAGCTCTCGTCGGTTCATGGATTCACAGACTGCTTCCTGCCTGTTTATTGTCAATGTGAAGTAAAAGCAGAGCCGCTTTGTGGCAGTGACCAATTGCCAGCATGTCACTGCATCTGTTCTCATGGAAGATGTGCAGCTACAGAAAACCCATGCTGATGTTCTGTAATTTTCCATAATAAACATTCAAAGTTCCTGTGGAAATGCTCTTGGTTTATTTCTTAGTCTCTGGTTCTCACTTGTACTGGTACTGGGTTAAGATAAAATGAGTGGGGGTCAGAGCCCACCTGTGTGTCCATGGGGAGACTTTTCCTCACTTGTGGGAATGTCCTTGTGCAGCCTCAGTGACCGGTGGCTGCTGTGATCGGTAAGAATTTGTTGAAGCCACAAAGACATTTCTGAGCCCCACAAGACCGGTGTTGTTTACTTGGTAAGTTGTGACTAAACCAGTTTTTCCAAAAATGCTGCCTTCCAGAGGAAAAGCATGAAAGGTTGACTTTTTATAGGAAAGAAACATCATTTTTGTAACATTCTTGAACAGCTAAATAGAATTACTTAAAAATTTGAAGTCTTGGTTTGTTTTTTTTTTTTTTTTTTTTTTTTTTTACTTTTTTTTTTTTTTTAGACAGCTTTTTTTGTGATTTTTTTTTTTTTTAGTGCTATTTAATCCCAAAGTTGATACCCGATTCTTACCCTTAGAAAGCTGTGAGGTGAAGCCACTTATGTTTCATGAGAAACTTTGGGGATATCTGGCAGGTGTCCCCCAGAGGTTGCTAGCAGAGGTTGGAGAAGCCTCTGCTGTGGTCAGCTCTGTGTCTTGTCCCAGTACAACTGATCATGGGGCTGCAGACAGGCAGGGTGGTGGTTCCCCCTATTATTGAGTGCAGGAGCAGGGAATGATGCCTGAGTGGTGCATCGGTGACTTGGGCACTGCTGCACTGCGATGTGGCATCAGCGGTAAGCACCTAGACTAGGGCAGTGGGGTTGCGTTCATAAATTGCAGGATGTCCTGAGCTGGAAGGTACCTGCAAAGATCACTGAGTCCAACTCATAAAATCACGCTGTTTCCCTTCGGGGTAGGATATTTAGGAGCAGGGAAAGAACAGCAATGTTTAGCTGTGCAGCAAATGCTTCCTCAGCTCTCACAACATCACCTCCAAAATGCATCTCCCCTTTTCTGACGGATCCCGAGCTCAGCCCCTAACGCACCCAAACAGAGCTTAACCCCAGCACCACCCCAACCCTAGCACAACTTTATTCCCTCTCCGTTTTCCCAGTGGTGCAAGATTTGCTAACATGTGGCCGTCCCCCGGCTGCGGGGGGGGCTCCCCCATCCCATTGCCGCCCCCGTGCGGCTGCGGCCGCCTCCCGGGGCTCCGCCCGCCCGCTGCCGGTACCGGGCCCGCCCCGGAAGGTGCCCGTGGGTTGTGGGGGGGTCTCGGGGCCATGGCTATGGGGGGGCGGCCGCTGCTGCCGCTGCTGCGATGGGGTTTGGGGGCCCCGGGGCTGGGCGCGGCGCCCCGGCGGCACCGCCACAAGGAGAAGTGGGTGAGGGCGCCGCCGCTCCCCGGGCACCGTGTAGTTTGGCTTTCCCCCCCCCTCAGCCCTCCTGCACCCCCTTTTATCCCTGCTGCACCCCTTTATCTTCCTTCCTCCCCACCCTTCTGCATGCTCGCTGCTCCCCTCTTCCCTGCAGCCCATCCCCTCCTTGCATGGCGGCGGAGAGACCACCGAGTGAAGCGCAGTGGCTGGAGGTCACTGTGATGTTGGGGATTTTGTCTCTTGGAGATTTTGTCTCTTCACACACACCCCAAAATTTTCTTCCCCAGGCTGCCACGGCGCCCCGCATCCCCGCCACGCGGCTGGCGCTGCACCACTTCGACGCCAGCTACGGCCTGCAGCTGGGCGAGCGCTGGCCGGCCGTGCGCGCCGCGCTGCTGTGCGAGCAGAAGTATGGTGCCCTGCTCAACAGCTTCGCCTCTGCCGAACACGTCGCCCAGGAGCTGGAGCTGCACAACGCCACCGATTTCGTTTCCGAAGCTGCCAGGAAGGCGCAGAGTTTGCTGCAGGGCTCAGAAGTGGGAGCGGAGAAGGGGGAGAGCGTGTCCCCAGGAGGGGCATGGTGGAGGCAGGACGGTGACACCGGCAGGGACATCGCCACCGCCTGCCCCCATCGGCTCCAACATCAAGTGCTACACCTTCCCCAGGGGGGACATCACGCGCTTTCGTCCTGCTTGGTGAGGTGGTTTTCCTGTTTTCTTTGCACTGATATCAACCAGATGTAGCACATGAGATACAACTAGCTAAAGAAGTTGCATTTTTGAAAAAAAAGCAAACAGTTCTAGTTGGCTTTGAGAGGTGCCAGACTATCCCCAGCTAGGCCTTTAATAATATTTCATTGACCGTTCCTAGGACAAACCAGAGTTGCCATTGCCACTGTCGGGGTGTTAGCACCAGCTTCTTTTCTACGTGCCCCTCTTACCCTCCAGTTGTTTTGTTCCCTCACACGCTTGCTTTTCTGTAATGGTGGTTTCCAGGCCAGACTCTCTGGGGCTCCTCAGCTACTATCTGATGGACGCAGCATCCCTCCTGCCTGTTTTGGCCCTCAACGTGCAGCCAGATGACTTCGTCCTTGATCTCTGTGCAGCTCCAGGTGGCAAGACTCTGGCTCTGCTGCAGACTGGGGCTTGTGGTAAGCGAAGGGGCTGTTGAGTAAAACTGGGATGGGAAAGCGTGCTGCGGTACGTGGCGCTGCCTGTCTGCATGTTAATCTTTTGTGGTTATAAGAGTTGGGAATTGTGTGTATATTTTTCCAGAGTGAATTTCTCAGCATGCTGTTTTCTCCTCTCGCCCCAGGGCATCTGGCAGCCAACGATGTCTCCATTTCCCGCACAAAGAGATTGTACCAGATTCTCAGTAGCTACGTTCCCAAAAATGTCAGGGAAGCCGTGAGTGTCACGTCGTACGACGGAAGGGACTGGGCAGAGCTGGAAGGTGGGACTTTCCATAAGGTAAGTGACTGAAAACTGGTGAAGATAAGCCCAACTATTTCAGTTTCCTCCTGTTTCAGAGGAAGACAGCAGCTCATCCAACAGTATAATTGTATAGTCTTGCACAGCCTGAAATGCTGAGACTAAGCCACATACTAGAGTAGTATTTCCTCTAGCTATACCCTTTCTGCAGCATCTGGTGAGTATGGGCATCCTGAGCTGTACCTTTATCTGTCTGTATGATTGCCCGTAAATATCCCATCCTAATTCTTCACTTGCAAGGGGTTAGATATGAAACTTAGATGGTTGCTTTTTGTTTCTTAACCCGTACCCATTCCCCTGTCAGGCAGGAGCCTGGTGGGCTATGCTGGCTCCTTAGTGGTTTGTTCTGCTTGGGGGAGGAGGATTTGTTACACCAGGAGGTGTCCCCTCAGTTTTGCGTTATTACCTGGAGCATGGCAGGGTTGGAGGTGTTGGGTGAGGTGCTGGGTGACCTCTGAGCTCAATCTGAGGCCAAAAATGATGCAGGATCTCCACTGCTGCAGGTCCTCGTGGACGTGCCCTGCACGACAGACAGGCACTCTGTGATGGAGACAGACAACAACATCTTCCACAGAAGGAGAACCAAGGAGCGTCAGATGTTGCCAATGCTGCAGCTACAGCTGCTGATGTGAGTGAGCTTGACACTGTTTTGTTGTTAGCTGTGTTACAACAGTAGCTCTCGTTACTGTCAGCACTGAAACCTCTTCTTACTTTGTGTGTACCTGTACAAAGCTCTCCCCACCTCATCTGTGCTGTGTGTTGGCTTCCTGATTTCAGTGCCAGTGTCCTGCACTGTCCAGTTCCTCCTGTGATGTTGTGTTTGTTCTTCATCCCCTAGTTCTGGGATCCTTGCTACCAAGCCAGGAGGAGACGTGGTGTATTCTACGTGCTCCCTCTCCCCGCTGCAGAATGAATACGTGATCGAGAGAGCGATAGAAATTGCAGAAACCCAGTTCAACATCACGACCCATGCTGAGGACTTGAGCCACTTCCGCACGCTCTTCCAGGACACATTTTGTTTCTCCTCAGACTGCCGGCTGGGGGAGCTCGTTCTTCCTCACCTCACAGCCAACTTTGGACCTATCTATTTCTGCAAGTTACACCGAGCATAGAAGGGGTGGCAGATTTTGGCTCTCGGGCAGCTCCAGCTTCCTCATTGTACATCTTTGGGCCATCTCAACTGGAACTTGCTTCCCCGCTGCTGGCTGTAATGAAATACCCTAGATTTGCAGGGAAAGAAAAACTACTTGATATTTATTTTTTGTATTAAAGTATCTCTAAGGAAGTCTTTTTACTGCAGAGAGAATAAATGAGAAAGACCTGCTGTGGAGTCTGATGCCTATTTGTCTGTTTGAGGAGTTTAATCTAGGAAAGAGAGGTCTCAATCAGATGGAGCAGTTCATCTGTCTCAGAACAGGATAAATGGTGCTGTGCAGATGTTGTTTTCTCCCTTGCATCTGACTGCTTCTGTCCTACGTGAGCAGGTTCAGGATAATAAACACCATCTGGGGATCTCAGGCTTTCTGCCCCAGATCTCACCATCTGCATAATCTGTCTCTGCTTATCACCTCTCTGCTGTTAGAAAAAGCAGCCTGAGGTCCTTAAAGAAGACGTTCTTAAGAATGCTGTTTCACTGGGCTTGAAAATACACCTGTGGTGCTTGATACCTGCTGGTGGAAACAGCTCAGTGCTGTGGAGAGGCAAGTGACTGTTGCCATCTCCCACAGACAGAGAGGTGTGAGCACTGCCACGTGTGCTAGATACCACTTAATGTCCAGTGGGGAGCTGCATGATTTTGGGCAATAACTGTGCACTCATATGATCTCATCCGTCAGCGGAGGGTTACTCAAGTTTACAATAACATTTGCTTAATACCTGTATTTTATTATGTTTTTCAAGTAAATAGTGATTGAGAGGGTAGAGAGACACAGCTGTATTCCCAGCAGGGCTGTTAGCCTCAGCAGAATAGCCCATGCTTACATCCAGTGCCAGCAAGAAAATACTGCTGAGGGTAGCTCCCACTCATACCCATTGTTTCAGGGAGGTGCACTTCATAGATTTTTGATCATTTGAACCCAACATTAGACATTCTAGCCCTCTGCATCACATCACGAGTGCCAGTGTGGCTGCAGAGTGTGCTGGTGGGGAACACTGCACAGTCACTAATGCAGCAAAAGGAACTAGTTGTTTCCAGCCCTACCAGCTTACTGGGGCAAACGGGGAGAAAGGAGAATGAGCAGCAGGAGAGGTGGGGGACAGACGGCAGGGATAATTTGTGAAGCTGCATTGTCCATCTGGAGTCTTCAGATATTCTCATTTTTCTTCCAAGGAAGAATGTGATGCAGGCAAGGCAGGGTTTCCTTTCAACAAAGGAGTTTGGTGTTGTGAAGGGTTTGTATGATGAAGTGCTGGAGGATTTATGCTGATGTTTTGGTCTCTGCCTCAGCTGCTGAGCTGTTTATAGAGGTGAATCCAGCAGCGTCTCAGCCAAGACAGAGGACAGCGAGGCAGATTTACAGTCCTTTTAATGGCTACTGAGGAAACTGCTGTGTCCTTTACAGGATCTGTGCTTGTCAGCAGGAAGAAGGGCAGGAAATGCGCTCTCTTTCCTCCTTCCCTCCTCGCTGGAATCTATGCCCTTCGGATTGCAAAAGGGGAAACTGATGCAGAGCCGCCCTGTTTGCATCTCGGCTGCCTCTGGCCCTGCAGAGCTGGGACTGGAGAGGCTACGCTGCTCCCGTCCCGCGGCTGAGGGTCTCCACCTCCTTCATGAAGCGCAGGCACAGCTCCTCCTGCCACGGCAAGGCCACGCACTGCACGGCCACGGGCAGCCCCACGGCTCCTGCCACAGCCTGCAGAGGGGACACAGCGAGGGGTTACCTGCTGGAGCTCAAGAAGTGATTTTTTTTGCACTGTGCCCATATTGACAGACATTTAGGAACCATGGATTTCAGCAACGTTTACCCTGAATATTCACCAGAAGTCTGCTCCACCACTTTCCACGTCACGTACCTGTTTCAATGTCCTGTCCCAGGAGTCATCGCAGCATCCCCGGTAAAGCTTCAGTTCTTCCTCGTCAGCTTCTGTCACCACGCTGACAGGCACGACCCCAGCAGGGGAAGTTCAAGACGTTGTACAGCATCGTGGAGGAGACAGCAGCTGAGAGAAGCAAAACAGACAACACAGGCAGCTACAGACTCAATTTCAGACGTGTTCCTTGAAGCCCTGAGAACCAGCTGCTTTTGGGAGGCAAAACTACCCAGGGCTGGTCATCCCTGAGTCCCAGTCCTACTGCAAGAAACAACTGCCACCAGATCCACCTCACCCAGGTGTCTGCCAAGCTTTATGGTAGTTGCTTTTCCTTCCTAAAGCCCATAAAATGCTTTGGTGGTGAAGCTCCACGGTGCTCCTCTCCCCTCCCAGGAAGGTCCCAGGCTCACTTACGGAGGAGTTTCCCCGGGAATCCCACGGTGAAGGCAGGCCCTAGGACAGGGCACAGCACGACGTCCAGCTGGAGTTCCCTCCACTGGGTGATGAACTGCGAGCGGTACGCCTGTGGGAGGAGAGGGGAGATGACATTGAGGCCATGTCCACGCCTGGAACACCTTGGCACCGACCCCACTCCTCTCTGCCAAACTGACACCACAATGCCTCAACTCATAGCATGATGCCCTGAGAGAAAAGCCTTCAAAACATACCTCTATTTGATGCTGTTGATTCCACAGTTCATTCACTGACCTGCAAGCGGAAATCATAGTAACATTTTTTTAAGCTTTAAGAAGAGGGGAAACTGCTTAAATAATCCTCCAGGTTGATAAACCTCAGTGATTTTAGCAATTACTTGAAACAATACATCTTCCTCAATTTCTCTGAAGTTTCCTTAGGCATTTAGCCAAGCTGTTAAGCAACAAATGTCTGGAAATGGAAGAGAGAAGGTTTCTCTTGTGAGCCTGGATTGAGTGCTTATCTCTGCCACAAGCTTCCTGTACGACCTTGTCCAAGTCCCTTAATCCTTTCAGAGTAACACTAGGGGCAGTGTAACACTAGGGAAGTGGGGAGACCTGTTCCTAAGGCTGAAGCTTTGTCCAGGACAGAGAAACCTCCTGGCAGAAAGCCTGTTGTGAACCCTGGTGCCCCCCTACTCCATCGTGGACACTTAGAGGAGAAAACATAGTTAATTTCCATGGACATTCCTTGGGACAGTGCTGTCTTACCTCATTCCACACAAGGCATTCAGATAGTCAGCCAGGCGGGGAAACTGGAAAGGCAAATTATTCTCGTTAGGGGCATGGTGTGAGGGTGCAGTAATTTGTGCCATCCCAGGAGACCTCTGCTTGTGCCCTGACTCTATGGAGCTGCTGCACTAAGGGTCGATGACATTGCTTAAGAATGCTCCACATGGTTCTCATTTTGCTTGGCTTCCAACTTCTTGTTGTTGGTTCTCCTTTTTTTTTTTTTTTTTTTTTTTTTTTCCCTTTTTCTTACAGCTCACTATTTCCTACTCACAGAGGAATGCATTGACCTGAACCAAGATGCTTATTTCTGATAAATCAAATTTTTTTTTTTTTTCTTGGTGTCTCATAGAAACAAGATTCCTGCAAGCACTTTGGTTGCCTCCCACACACTGCTACATTTTTGATCCTGTTAGCCGAGAACAACCCAACTGGAGAGAAGGGCAGTGAAAACCGGAGGATGCAGGATGAGAGGATGTTTATTGTACAAATGGGGCCACAGTGCAGATCAGCTCTTATTAATCACCATGAATCCCTGTGAAGGTGTGCTCTTTGGAAGGCCTCAAAGCAGGGATAGAGCTTCAAACGAGTTCCCCTGCTGTACTAATCCCAACACATGAATCTGTAGGAAACTGGGCACCACTAGATACAGCATCTGAAGAACCACTTGCTGTGGGTTCTGCATTATTTTTTACAGCTCTTTGCTGGTCCTCTTCTCATTTCCCTTTGCACTGGATAAACCCCAGCAGGGCTCTAGAAAAGACCTTCCAAAGTGACAGCGTGTGCCTTGGCCTAAAATCCCCGTGTTTGCAGTTAGAGGTGGCTCCCAGCACCATCACGCTTCTAAGCATCTCAGGGCCTTGCTGACACCTCTCTGCTTTGAGCCGGAGGCCAGGAACTCACCAGAGGTTTAAGAATCAGAGCCAGCAGCTTCTTCACCAGCCTTGGGATCTTGTAGCAAGTCACCTGTGGTTTTAAGCTTGGATCTACAATATTTCCTGTGCTGAGAGATGACAAGAGGAGGGGATCATGCCAGAGAAGCTGTTTGCCCTTTCTCAGAAACCCAAATATCTCCTGTTTGGGGTGTGAGAGGAGCTGGTTGTGCCTGTGTGTTGTGCTCAGGGGCATGGGGATAGGGGTGTTTTAGAGCACTCCTACCAGAGGGCTCCTACTTACAACTCATACAACCAAGCACGGCCTCCATCAGCAAAAAACGTCTTCAGAAACAGTTCATTCATGACATACTGGATCCGAAGCGGAGAAAAGGGCACCAGCTACACCAAAACACAAAATTATGTGGCAGCCTGAGGATGTGAATAATTTCCAAGGCCTGACTGGGGATATATTCACAGGCAGAGCAGAAGCCTCTTGGGGCTCCACACACTGGTGGAGGGGCCCATTTCAGCCCTTTAGCCATCTCTCAATATGATTATTTGTCCCTGGCAGCTGTTTGGCTCAGGTCTGAGACCTCTCCATTCCTCCTCCCCCCTGTTCCAGGCGATCACCCTCCCCTCAGTGCTGTGGTAATTTAAAATAGCGCCTCTGTTATTTATCCCACAGCTGGGCCTGGGGGCTCTGTTCAGCTTCTGAAGGTTGATTACAGCAGGAAGGGGCAAAGCTGGGGTCTCCCTGTGGGGACGAGTGTGGGGTGGTGGTGCTCACCGTGTGCCCCGCTGCCTGCAGAGCCTCCCTGGTCTCACGCACCGCCCTGCGCATGCAAGGAGGCAGCGGGAAGAAGCCGTCGGTGTCATAGTACCCGACCCGCAGAGGAGCAGAGCTTGAGTACACCTGGAGCAAAGGAGACACCAGTCTGACATTGACTTCCTCCCCACCCTTTGCTGAGGTTTCTCAGTCAGATAAACCACACTCCAGTTGAGAGAATGGAAATAATAACTACTTGCTTTTGCTCACCATTTTATTTCCCCTGATAATTACAAATCGTGCCCTCAAAGAGATCTAGCCAGCTACTAGAAACCAGTACTATGAAGGTAACTGGATCCTTGAGGCATGTAGGACTGTTAAGGACCAGGCTCACCTCCTCGTTGAAGGGGATGGGGGGCACGGTGGGGTCCAGCCGGAACATCTCCTCGCAGAGC